TAATAAATTAATTTTTTTTTTCAAAACTCTTAATTTATGGTGCTTTTAAAGCACAGATTAAAGACAAATCCTAGGTTGAATTAGAAAAGAGTTAGAACCTCCAGAACTATAATGGTAAGACAAATGTCTTTTTTTTAATCTATGAAAATGTCAAATACTCTTAATAAATAAGAGTTATTGAGAATGTTTACTTTTGTAATTTAAATTATATAAATTATGCAATTTTTTATGCAACTTGCACTTAAAACACCAGTAATTCACATGATAAGCAGTCTCCTTATTGTCTCTATTTATCCCTTCATCAAGGAAAGAAAAAGAAGGTCTTTATCCCGCATTGATTGTGCAACTTTAACCCTCCTAGCGCCTAAAACCCAACATATTTGGATTCAAAGAGTTAACTTTGTAAGGAAAGTTGGTAAAATAATGGCAACTCCAAATTGTTAGAAATTGAAGAGAAATATTTGAAAAATGATTTATTTCTTCCTTGATTAATATTGTATGGACAATGATATATATACATGTTTATAAAAAGAAACTATTTTAAGGTATAAGATATATACAATAAAAAAAATATTGTAAATATGATTTGAATTGTTATCAATTATTGTGTTTACATCTTAACACCAATCAAACTCAAGTAAGTTGTGATGAAACCAACTTTCGAGTTCACTGTTGTGGCCTGGAGTTTGGTCCATTCTGCAAAATTCTATACATCTTTATTATTGTTTTTACATCTTTGATTAAAACAATCTGGATCTCTTCTAGGTTTTAGTTCTTTTATTCATTAATTTTGAGCTAGACTTGATTGTATGCTTCTTTTTCAGAAAAGACCCCGAGTCATTGGTCTAGTTAATAACTAAAAAATTTAAATTCAAGTTATAAATAGTGATTGTTTTTCACACTTATATATTGCTTGTACCAACACTTTTATCCTAAAGGCGACCCAGGCACTATAATTTCAATTTTATTTTATGGAATTCTTGCCGAAAGATTTCCCTACCTGTAGAATTCAAAGAAATAAGACCTCTACCACGAAAAGACTTACAATTTCTTTTATGAATTTTTTTTTACACAGATCCAAGGGTGAGTTTAATCAGATCCAATAGATGTTTCTTTTCTAGGAAACTTAGTGAGAATGTCTCCATGCATTATACTTCCAAGTTCTTTACTTTATTCATCCGTTATACTACAGTGGAACAAGGATTAGAAACGGTTTCTTTGTTTCTTTGGTACATTTATGATTTAGGTCCTAAAATTTTCAATTTTATATGATTTTGTTTATGGGTATGTGAAATTAAAAATTGAAAATGGGAATTTCTTGCAGTAATGGAAACTGACGAAGAAGAGGATAATGGTATATTTTATAAATTTAAAATTGAGTGAAGGGCTATTAAGAAAGAAAATGGTTTTGTTTAGTTTTAATTAGAAGGCACCAGCCATTTCATTAAAAAAAGCCACTAAAAATCCACGTGGTATAGAAAATTTTTAGAAAATGGCAAATCAGCCCTTGTACTCTTTACATGGTTGTCAAATGAGCCCCTCAACTAAAAATGGTGGCAAATTAACCCTCAAACCCTCGAAATGGTGGCAAATTAGCCCTTTTTAGACGGAATTCAATTTAACTAACAGAGCACGTGTTTGGGTGAGATCTAGGATGATGATGTAGCCTTCCATGTCGAGGTGTCTTAATGCTACATAATTTTAATATCGTTAATTTAGAAATTTTTTATAAGAAAATAAAGAAATACTCAATCTTGTCTTAAAGTAATTATTTTTTTTAATTTTTTTAAAAAATTAAGGACTTGAGGGTAATATTTGTATTTATTTATAATACCTCTAAAAAAAATAAAAGGAAAAAAGATTTTTTAATTAGATGATTAATTAAATTGAATAAATAATAATAAAGTTAAAGTATAAAAAATATTTATTTATATTGACTATATTTTTAAATTTATTTATTATTAATTTTAAATCAAGAAATAATAAATAATAAATTTTTAATAAGTGTATTGTACAATATATTGAATTGTAATATATACTAATCATTATCTATTATTATAATAAGAGTAATGTTATGGAAACAACTTTTTTATATAATTTTTTAATATAATTTTATATATAATTAAATAAGTAAATGCATATAATATTATTAGTCTTAATAAAATAAAGAAATATATAATTATTAAATGACTTTTAAAATTATGAGAAAAAATTATATAAAAAATCGTCTTTAAATAATTGTTTGCTTGATAATTTCCACATCATCAAAATAACACCAGGTTAGCTAAAAAATAACAGAAACATGTGCTGGCACGTAACTTTTGCCATGATATTTTGAGTTTTTAACATATTTTCAAAAATATAGGGTGTTGATTGAAGAAAAAATTATTGAGTGTGCTCACCAAAAATATTAACTTATCAAATATAATATATATATATATATTCAGTCAAGGCATCAATTAATTTTCGGCAAATAATCCTAGTAAATAAAATAACCATTTACAATCGGAATTCCTAGCTCTCTTCGTCAACCCAAAGTCTACACTTACAGTGTGGACATAATAAATTATTAATACAAGAAAAGAACTAAATGGGGCCGAATAACATGATTAAAAGCAGTATAGGAGAATGTGATTGACCTCCTATTTTAGTCTCCTTAAAAATTTCCTCGTGTTTGTTGCGCTGGAATTTCCTGGCAAGCAACCATTATCAGATCACAATTGCAATTTGCATATTTTTCAATCAATATATATAACCGTGTAGGGCCAGCTTGTGGAAAATGCAATGACAATCGGAAATTTGGTCGGCAATATGGCCTTATAAATAGTCCTTAAACCCATAACGAATGGTACACCACTACCCTCTTGGCTCTCATGAAAATGGAAGCTAAATCTTCACTTTATGCTTTCATCTTGATCTTTGGCCTTCTATTTTCCCATGGAATCATAGAAGTTGTTTCTGGGTCTTCCCTAGATGCAGTTCCTTCTCATTTTCCTTACAAATTTAAGGTAGTGTCTAACAAGTATGGTGGTAAATTACTACAATCACCCCAACCCAATAAACGACGTAGTCAATATCGGCCCGGTCCTCCTCGGCGGATTCGTCCAACAACACTGTCCCGCTCCACGCTGAATCCTCCATTTCACTTCAAAAGTCCTCCTACTTAGTTTTCTCCACCATCACGGTCCCGTTGACCGCCATCACCGCCCGGTCTTCGCTAAGTCTTCGCTCATTTTTGTATGTTCACTTTTATTTTGATATGGAATGTACCTTCTTTTTCTTTTTCTTTTTCTTTTTTTTCAGTTTATTTATGATCTGCGCTGGATAAAGTGTAATAATTGTGTAATAATTCTTATCTGTTTTCTTATAATGAAAAAGATAAAATTGACTTTTATTTTAATAATAAATATAATGTGGTAGTTTTTTATTATATTTTGAAATTAAAATAAAACTTGTTTTTGAATTTAAAATTTTACATTTTTAAGAAAAAATAACAATTATTAATTAATAATTACTTTTTATCTTATACTTTTAAGGTACATAATAAATAAATCTTATTTTAGTAAAGTAAAAAATATTCATCAATAATAGAAATTGGCAAGGGTTACAGGCAAGGGTGGAGCCAAAAAATGATTTCGATGGTGAACATTTAGACTTATATATATGAAAAATGAATTTTGTAAGAATTAAAGACTTTGAATGAGATTAAAACTAATATTAAATCAAATTACATGTTATATATATACATATATATATATATACACACACATAGAAAACTTAAAATTATGCCCTTGTATGTATCAAAATCTCTAAAAGTGTCATGATATTCAATCATAACAACAAAATAGGTAAGATACAATGGGTTCTGTCCTACCTATTTTATGGTCATAATTCAAGGTTGTGACATTTTTAATACTTTCTCTATTCAAGTTTGTTTATCATAATTCGATTTTTAAAATTTTGAAACATGAATTTTTGATAAAAAAAATAATAAAGTATATGAATGACAATTAAAATCTTTCTTCTTATATATATAATTCATGTTGAGCGGTTTCTTTTGATAAAAAAATATATTCAATAATTATTTTTATACTACATTAAATTTTCACATAAAATTAAAGTCAAAAAGATAAAAGTTAAATTAAAATAACAAAATTCCTTTTTTTATTCTATATACACGGACGACACAAGTTGAATAGGGTAATACAATTAGAGTATGGATCTCATATACATTTTATTGTTAGCAAATCTTAATTTTTTTTATTAAAAAAATGATAAATGACAAAGACTGGCAGCATTATTTCAACCGATGCTACATAAAAAAATTTAAAATAAAAGGAAGTCATTATTATTATTATTATTTTGACATTTACAATCTCTGAAAATGGTAGATTTGAATCAAGGTGAAGGCCTTGATGGTGAACTTTCACAACTAAATTGGCTGACAATGTATATGCAAATCAAAGGAAGTTACTGAAGATCAAGCTAATTGATCCGAATGAAAAGATATCTTTTCTTTTTTAAATAAAACTTTGAGTTTAAATTTTATAAAGAGAGAAATAGGTATTGAGAGAATTTTTCTTATACAATCTAATACGATTGGACTTTAAATTAATTAAAATTTAATGTAATTTTTGAATCAAGGTTAGTTAAAAAAAAATTTTTTCCACTTATCGTGACTCTAACCATTTCATTGTTGTAACTGCAACGAACCAATGAATCTCCTTCAGTCCAAGTCTTCTCTTCAAATTAACTTGCAAAGCCTCAAGGTTGGTTCTTAGGGTAGACACTCTGATTTTTAAGTCAGTGATAATCTGGTTTACCTTAAGATGGACTATAAAAAAAACTTTAGGTTGGTTTCAATTATCTTTCAGAGGTGACCCTTGGGGGTTTTTATAAGCCTTAATGAGGTATCCACTTGACTTGCTTAATCAAATAATCAGAGCCTGACGTGTCCAGGAAGGCGACGACCTCGAGAATAGAGGATTAGGTGAGGTGTGCTCACCTTAATTATCATACAACCAGGAAGAACTAAATTTCAACTTTACCTCAGCTATTGAGTAACCAAGGTCAACAGGTTGGAGAGAGAGTTGAACTTTGACAAGTTCAAAGTACGTCCAAGATTAGTAATCTCAAACTTATTGTTAATTGTCCTTACACTATTCCCCCTTCCAGGTCATTCACTTGTCAATGAATAAGCTAAGTGGTTAATGGGAGTGGTAAAGTCTGTATATGGGCAATTAAAAGTGGATGACACAATATGATATAACAGAAAGTCATGTATTCACTTGGGGTACAAAAGCATGGCACGAAGTCGTGTACCGAAATCAAAGTAAAAATGTCTGAAACGTAATCATGTTATTATGGCCATAGCCAAAGTAAAAATGCATGACATGCAGTCATGTTAGTATAGCCGTAGCCAAAGTAAAATGCATGACACGTAGTCATGTTATTATGGTTGTAGCTGAAGCAAAAATGCATGACACGCAGTCATGTTATTGTGGCCACAGTCAAAGTAAAAATGCATTCCATGTAGTCATGTTATCGTGGTTGTAGCCGAAGTAAAAATGCGTGAATTGAAAATTAGAGGTAAAACACTTGTTGTGATATGAGGTATATTTGGTAAGTAGAAAGACCTAGGCTGGGCCTAGTTGGGCCAACATAATAAGCCTAAAGAGGAGTTAGGACACGATATAACAGCTGTCTTTGAAAGACATGCATAATAAATACAGGTTGTAAAAGGTAACTGTCAGAGACCAAAGGGTGCAATTAGAACAAACCGTCGAATTCGAAAAGGTTCCATTAGAAATTAACCATCGAATTTGAAACAGTATAATTATGACCATCAAATGAAATTAATCGTGGCTGTTGAGGCCAATACGTGTCTCAGTGTATATAGCCATACTTGTGTAAATTTCTATTACTTTACTATATTTATTTTCGGAATGCTACCAAAATTTCAACAAAGCTAGTTCAATTACCGAACTCCTGTGTGCTAAATTTTTTGGATTCAACACTAAGTTCTACAATACCAAGATCAGGTAACTTATGAATTTTGCTAATTCTGATACCAGTGAAGATTTTTATTCTCCTCTTACTCTTTCTAATTTAGATCTAAGTCATCCTAAAGAGATTAGGTTTAGAAGTGAAAGTGATATAGAATGTGAGTTAGAGTTTATTAAGGATCCTAATTACATCCCACCTCCTACTCTATGCAACGAGAGTTATGAGACTGAAGATATGTCATTAAAGGGGAAGTGAGGAGGTTAGGGCAATGGAGCATGAAGACGTGGGTGTAGTGGAACATCCCCTTTTTGATAAATCTCCTAGTTTGTCAAGTAGGGAAGTGTACTCCTCAAGATAAAAAAAAAAACAGTAGGAATTATCTATAAAAAAAGATTGCAGCGAAAGTAAAAACTCTTCTATTATAAAATGTTTCCCTTTAAGGCAAATCTGCTTTCAAAACAATTTAAAGTTTTATAAAATGAAAATCATTCATCTGCAAGGGAAAACTATTTAAATGAAAAATATCTTAAGAAAAATATCGAATACTCAAAGTTATAAAATAAGTCAGGTTATGCCCATTTAAATTAATCTTAATGTCATATACATCTTAATGTCATATACATCAAAGTAACTTATACAAAAAAAAAAAAAAAAAATACATGAAAGCAATTGCTTTTCAAAATACTTTTTAAAATAATAAAAGCAGAATTATCGTTTTGGTAATACATTAATCCACCTTCACATTGAAAACATTGAGGTCGACATACAAGATTTATATCGAAAGCTCTCAAGCTGAGTGGCCGCTACTCCAGTCTACTAATCTGAAATGGGCGGGGAGGATTTTTTGAGCTAAAAGCCCAGTAAGTATTAAGCTTAAGCTATAAACTTGGATCCTAAGACCCTTAAATCTACAGACATGGAGAACATAATAGATAATCAAATTAAGCCACATAATATTATAAATTCCAGTATCTAATTAACAATTTAATATCACAATTTAATTCACAGATAATCAAACATGTCAAGGAATAACCAATGACATTTAAATCAATCCATATCATAAAATCTTATGCTTACAAATGTAATGTCACAAGCATAATGCATAAAAACTGAAAATCACACAATGCTATAGAGTTCACTGATGTGTGCTAGCAACACTATACTGGAGCTAATCACAGTACTAACCCTACTACGCAGAGGTCCACTAAATACCCCGAATGGTCTAGTGAATACCCCGAATGGTCTAGTGAATACCCCGGAAGGTCCACTAAATACCCCGAAGGGTCCACTGAATACCCCAAGTTTTAAGGTTAGGTCCACTTACTTCATATCCACAAACACATACAATTGTCAAATAAATTCAGAATATGTCCAAAATAATATAGGATATTATCCCATTCAATGTTCCCATTAATCAGTGGTACTGAAAATTCAAGTTCACACTAATATCCACATACACAGTTCACATATTCTATAGAACTCCCTATTAAAAGTAATTAAGGTATGATACGTGAACAGTAATATGTGAACAGTAACACGTGAGCAGTAATTATGTGAACAGTAATTAGAAAAGTAGCAATCTGCTTCCAAGCTCACACATAGTTTCAAGAACCAATTCACCAAATATAAGTGTTTGGTAAATTTACATATTTCGAAACAGTTATAAATAAAGTGTTTGGTAAAATTTTTATTTAGCGGTTTGAGACTAGCGGATAACGGTTAGAGTCCAAACCGCTAGCGGATTGAAAAAGCTAGTTTATGTAGCTTTTTATACCAAACCACTAACGGATTAAAAATTTTTAATTTTATTTACAAATTTATTCATTTTAATTTTTTAATTTGTGGTCA